CCCTGGCGGCCCGGCCCCGCGGCGCAGCGCCGGCAGAACGGGCGGATCGCGGAAACGGAGCGCGTTTGGGGCGGGGGACCGAAGCCTGTAAATGAGGGCGTGGCGGCGGCTGCACAGTTCTGGGTACGCCGCCCTGAGCTGAGCGCTTCGAAGGGCGGGATTGCAAATCACACCTCCGTGGAGCGTTAAGAGAAGAAGAACGAGCAACTGACAATTCCGCGGGCGTGGGCTCCCAGGGCTTCCATTGCCCTGGCCGACAGGGTCCCCGCCGCCGTGACGCGGTCCTCGGGGGTGACCCGCAGGGGGGCCTCGCGGGTTAACGAGGACGGTGGGGGCGGGGCCTGGGCGGGAGCCGGCAGGGTCTGGGGCGGGGCCTGAGGCAGTCTGGTGACGCGCTCAAAGCAGCACCCAATCGAGGCCGCCGGCTCCGCCCCCTCCCCACCAGGCCCCACCCCTCCCGCCAGGACCCGCCCACGCTGTGTCCGCCCAGGACCCGGGGGCAGAGCGCTCTTCCCTGCCGCCGGGTGTAGACTCCGGTCGGGCTTCCGGGTCCCCTTCCGGCTCTGCGGGGGCTGGCTGTGTGGGCCGGGCCAGGCGCTGCGCCTCGTTAGGCCGCACTTTCCTCCTCGGGGCAGGGGGACCACACGGCGCACCCCCAGGGGTTCTGACCGGCTGGCTGCCCTGCCCGCCGTCTGCCGGGCGCCCCGGGCCCGGCCAGCCCCGGACACGCGCTCGGGTTTCCTGGTACACAGCTGGAGCCACACTGGTGCGCGCTGCCCCTTAGCAGGTGCTGGCTCTGGTCAGCTTCACCCCCTGGGACGGCCTCAGAGCGGGGCCAGCTGGCTTCCCATCTGTGAAGGGGGCTGTCCCCACAATGCCAGGGGGGGGGGGGGGGGACGGGTGGCCTAGAGAGGGGTCCGCAGTGACCCAGGCTCCCCAGCAGTCATGTGGACCTGAGATGTGGCTGGACGTTCTGTGATTCTGGCCTGTGTTCCTCTCCTCTGCCCTGACCCACAAGTGGCCCTTGTCTCAGCAGGTTGCTGCAAGGCTGGAATGAAGCACAGCTCGAAGCCACTGAACACAGGCTCTCTCACGCACTACAGTACTCAACAGATGGTGGCCCTCGGCATAATAAATCTCCTTACTGTTCCCTGGACACTGTGGGGTCCCTGCTCCCCGACCAGGTTTGCTCTCTGCTCATCCCCACCCCATCCCAGCCGTCTTCAGTCTGGAGAGCCTGGTCCTCCAGGAAGGTGCCGCTGAGCCTGGCAGGGCAGCTTTGGCCCCTCTCTGTGCCTCTCTCAGGGCCCTCGGCCTCTTCTGCCCTGCTGGGAGTGGCCTGTGCCCGTTTCCTTTCCTCACTGTGCTGGAGGCTCAGGAGGCCGGGCTGCGTCTTGGTCCTCGCTGTCCTGTGTGTCAGAACCGTGTTGGGCCAGCTGCTGTGGTCCGCGGATGCCTGGTTCCTTTTGCTATAGGCAGATCCTGGAGTGTGTATCTGGGGATCAGACTTGACGCAGACAGGTTGGATGATTTGGGTAAAAGGAAACCACCTTCTCCATGTCTTTCTTACTTCAAGCCTCCCAGGAGCTGCCTCCTTTCTTTGCTTCCCCAGTGCATGCAGAACAAACTCGGCCTGTGGGTTCCATGCTCAGAGTCAGGATGGAGCTGAACGCTGTGCTCACCTGCCAGGACTTTGCCTAATACCGTTCGTCCTTGTTTTTACACATATGTGAGCACAGCTGGAGCCAGACGTAGGCAGGATTAAGGAATCTGGAACCAGAGAGGAGGCTGGGCTTCCAGATGGGCATTCCGGATCACCACTGTGACTGTGCTGTCAGCCTCTTGGTTTTGGTGAATCGGACAATAGGCTTCAGAGCGATACCCGACCCTTGACTGTGTTGGTGATCCTGCATGGGTGACTGGGCCATCCAGGGAGTTCTTTAGGATGAGTGGTTTCAAAATAAGATGGGGAAAAACGGTTAAAAAGTGAAATGCAGCTGAATAGAGAGATGATGTGTGTGGGCACATCGTGTGTGTCCATCTGGAGGATCAAGAGGCTCTAGGCTGAAGGAAGCCCCTTTAGCTGATGAACAGAGAGCTGCTGAGGACAACTCCTCCGCTATGAGCGGTTTCTTCCCACCCTGATTCTGAAGGCAGGTGTGGGTGTTATGCAGGGATGAAGGCATGGCTGCCTAGGAAGGGGGCGGTCGCCGGGGAGTGGTCGGCAATGGTCTCTTGAGCACCTCCTGCTGCCTGGCACGGGGGATGGAGAGGGCGTAGACATGGTGCCTCTCCTCACAGCCTATCGTCTGGGGATCAGACTCACACGGAGTAGGAAGGTGGGGATCTTATCGTGCAGGACGAGCTGAGAGAAGAGGAGGACCTTCCCTGGGGACGAGGACAGCTCCTGGGGCGGCAGAGCTCCAGAGAGAGGCCGTGGGTGTGGTGGGAGGCTGACTCTGAGCCCCGTGCTCCCCGTCTCAGCACACAAAGTGAGTGTGGCTTGGGCACACAGAGCATCCCCACTCTGGGACCTCAAAGGCCTGGGCACTTGCTGGCAGCGGCCGGCTAGGACCCAGGGCTTCCCCTGGACGTTCTGGGCCATCTAGACCTGCAGGGACCTTGTAAAAAAGACGTTGTTTCCTCTTCATCTGACATTGGGGACACAGGGCCAGATGTAACCTGCACCGAGCAAGTAGAGTAACGTGACGAGTGTCATGCCAAACTCCCTCTGCCCCGCACTGAGTGCCAGGTCCTGGGTGGGTGGCAGACCTGGTGGCTCCCCTGCCCTGCACGTGTAAAGAGAGGGAGGGGCTGGATGGGTGCCCCCTGTGCGGCTATGGACTGGCCGAGAGAGAAAGCGCCCGGGGAGGCTTGTGGAGAGAGGTGAAGTGACGTTAGGGACATGGAGGGGGGAGGGGTGTCTGTGTGCGTGTGCGCATGTGTGTGGTGAGGAGGAAGGCTCAGGGAAGTAAGCCCTGGGAGAGACAAGTAAGAATCGATGGATACAGAGCAAAAAAGCTTTGAAAAGAAATCTGTCATCTATCTATCTATATCTACTTGTCTGTCTGTCTCTCTGTCCATCCGTCCATCCGTCCACCCCTCCGTCCATCCCTCCATCCATCCGTCCTAGAAGGTAGGACACACATAACTGTGGCCCTGGGGTGGGCAGCTGGGGCAGGGGTGCCAGGAGACCTTTCCTGTGTCTTTTGTATGCTGGGTTTTAGAACCACATGAATGAGTTACCTATTCAAAGAATTAAATGAAACAATCTGACGTGCGATATGTTATTTGCAATCGTTATAAACAATAAATCTAATTATTTTTATGAGGTATAATTGACATAACATTCTGTTAGTTCCATGTGTGTAGCATAATGATTCGATATTTGTATATATTGTGAAATTATCTATTTATTGAGAAAAGATGGCATATTCCTTGTCCATAGAAGAAGTCAGCAAAGAATGAGGCAGGTGCCGGGGTGAGGAGACCTGGGACAGTGGGACCCCCGGTGGTCCCACGTCCACACGGAGACCCAGGCTCGGTGGGAACCTGCTCTGTGAATTTCCTCTCATCATGAATTTCCCCCCATGGCCCCTCTCTGAGGGAGATGCCACGGAGACTCCTGGGGTGAGGAACCTTGCCATGGTCCCACGATCAAGGGCAGGGCCAGGAACTGACCTCCAGACCCACGCCTCCAGGACCCACCTCCCTCCCCGGCCTGCCCGGCCTGAGCTGCTCTGGTTCCCCTGGATCCTCACCTGGGCTCCCCCTGGCAACCCACCCTCCAGACCCTGGGGCCACAGATGCCTCTCTCCCCCTGTGCCCCCTCTCTCCTGCCCAGACTTCAACTCTCAGGTCCAAGGTTGCCACCCGGTGGGGCTCTACCACCCCAGACAAGAGGGTCCTGTTTGGTCCATCATGGTCCTACTGCTCATCGAGTGTTTGGGGCACCCCGTCACCTGCCTGTCATCACAAATCACTGGTGACAGCTCGTTTGGTGTCCACCTTCCTTGCCAGGCTATCAGTTGGCACCAGGGTCAGGGCTGCTCTGGCTTTGCACCACTGGCCCCACCTCCCAGGCAAGGCCTGGCACACAGCAGGTAGACAATAACCATTTGTTGATGAACTGACTGACTGACTGACCTGGGCACTCCCTTGATCACTGTGACTGAATGAACTCCCCCACCTGTGTTACCCAAATTTCCTTCAAGAGATGCACTTGGCCTCCCAAGTACCTTGATCCCAGGAATAGGGGGTTTGGACCTTAGGTGAGAAACACCTAGGCCCTGGAAAGGGACCTCTCTCACAGTCAACAAACAAACAAGCCTTCTGGTTTATACATCAGTCTTGTATGAGTTTGGCCAGGGTGACTCATTCCCCAGACCAGCTCTGGGTTCTGACCAAGGGGGTTGCTGATGTCATCTCTCGAAGGTGGTAACCACCACTAACCAGAGGGCACCTGTCCCCCACCTCCGAGGGGACACCTGGTTCTTGGTCACAACAGCTGGGTCCAGTGGAAGGAGTGCTTGAAAGGCTTTGATCAAACATGCCCTGTGTGTTCACATGCCCTTGTGTCCACACACCCTGTGTCCACATGCCCTTGGTCACACCGTCCTCCTCTCTGGCTGAGTCTCTGGGAGGGAAGTGGAATTCCACCGCAGCATGGCTGGTCCTGCCCTGAGGGCTGTTCCTCCCTGGTGCATACGCCAGTGCTCCCGCTGGGGAGCCTGGAGGAGCACGCGGACGTGGAGGAAAGAGCTCACCCACGTCCATCTGCTCGACCACGGACCATCCTCGGGCCTCAGACGCCCGGACACTGAGGACAGCTAAGTTATCTATGTCCCCGGGCTGGGGTCCTCACAGGAGAGGTGCCTGGGGACCGAGTGGCCGCCAGCCCGGGTGGCAGAGATTTCTGATCCGGCTCTTGGAGAGGCTTGCAGCCAGCACATCACACCTCTAGAGGGCGACTCCCGCCCACTGTTTGGACCCAAACCCCGGCTCCTGGTTCAGAAGGAACCAAGTAAAGGCATTTCCTTTCCCTTGGAACCTGGCCCGCCGCCAGGGCACCAGTCCCAGCATTTTGAGAAGGAAGTCCAATTCTTCAGATGGGCGTATGAGGAATCGCTGTGATGGCCCGAGGGCTGTGGTCAGCTCCACTGACCCTCACAGCACCCTGCCTGGTACTGTCACCGTCCCCGCCGCGTCACCTGCAGGTCTAAGCGGGGCCGAGGAGGTGGGGAGCCAGGGATGCTGGGCTCAGCTGCTGGTCACTTCTCCCGGAGCGGGGTCTGGTTTCTCTGGGAGTTCCCAGATTGAACATATAAAAATAGACGATGATCAGTTCAATGTGCATTTCAGGTAAACAATGGATTGTGCATGTATGTGTGTCCCAAACATTGCACGGGATAGGCTTATAGCCAACATTATTTGTTGTTTATTTAAGATTCAAATTTAACCAGGGGTCCAGTATTTTATCGGATGATCCTTCGCCTTTTGCCTGAATTACCTTCTGGTCAGCAGCTTGATTTGTCTCGAAACATGGTACCTGCCAGGTCCGTAGTGTCCTGCCTGCCTCTGGCTGAAAGGAGCTTTGTATGTGAGGGACAGGGTGGCTCTGTCACTGCTGGGTGACATCAGGATCTGTAGAGGGAGTGAGCGACTTGCTGTGATGGCTGAGGGGAGGCCCCAGGCCCTGGCTCTCCAGGCGCTGATTTTGTGGGTGCAGAGGACCCCCGTAAGGGAGCACAACAATCGATTCCATGACCTCCTGCAAGGGTAGGCAGATCCTTTGTGCACTGTGCCGTGAAAAGCTGTGCTGTCCTGGAATCCTGTCCACATGTGCACCTCGTGTCCCTGGAGCTGTGGGAGGGACCAAGAAGAGGAGGAGGGTTTAAGTTCCGATAGACCCGGCTCCTCCGAGTGTGGCCCTCACCAGCAGCCTCGGCCTTCCCTGGGACTTGTCAGAAATGCAGACTCTCCCCACACATGCGCATGCACGTGTGTGCAGGTGCGTCGCGTTGTGTGCACAGACACAACACCCAGCTCTGCCCGCCGTCTCTGGGGCGGGGCCCGCGCTCTGTTGTAAGCAGCCCTGGGGGTCGCTTACAACTGCCTGGAACGCTTTCCGGGAGACGACGAGCCTCACGTTTACTTCCTGGCATGGGACATGTGGCCATCCAAGCCCTTGGTCACAGCCGTTTGTCATCAGAGCCGGGCCCTGCTGGAAGGGCCTTTGTCCAGCTGGCGAGTGGTGGCTATGAGAGCTGACGGCCTCACCTGTCATGATGGGGACCAAGCCGTCAGGAAATGAGACAAGGGTCTTCTGATTACTCGGAGCTAGTGGCCACTATTATCCCCTTCGTGGGGAGGGAAGCCGAGGTGAGGGAATGCTGGGTAACTGGTCTGCTACCAGGTGGGGGCCAGGCTTTGCCCTCTGCCCGTGGGACCCCAGAGCACCGATCCCCCAGTTTCTCGCCTTCCCTGAGAGTGGGGCTCCCACCAACAGCACTCATTTCCCTGTCGGGACTGACAAGCCTGCCCCTCTCCCTGCCCGCCCGTGGCCCCCAGGGGGCCTGTGGACCAGTTTGCAGGAATCCCTTCTGCACTGAGGGCAGTGGAGTGTGAGAGTCCAGTGCGGGGAGCCCCACCGCAGGCAGGATGTGCTGCCTTCAGTGAGAGAGCAGTTCCCAGGTCCCACCAGCAGGGCAAAGTGAACCACAGGGCCTGCTTCTTGGCTCAGTGTGGCCCCGCCCTGGGGGCAAGGAGCAGACCCTTGATCTCTAGAGCCTGGCGTTTTAGTGATGTCGGCTTTGAAGACCCCTGTCCCCAGGATGACTCAGGGCCAACTCCAGCAACGCCCCTGCCCCACAGAGGCCCTCCCGGCTCCCGCGCCCCCCCCTTCTACTTTTTAAGGCTTTTACATGGCCTGAGGGCGAGCCTGCAGCATGACCTGCTATTATTGCCATCTCCTCGGATCCCTTAGTGCCCTGGGACAATTACCACTTCAAAAACGCCACAGGACCGTGACGCGACAGTCACAAAATGCCCACAAAATGCCGCAGAGGCTGTGCCTGGGTTACTAATCATTCCAGCTCTCAAGTCAGTTTCAAGGGGACTGAGCAAGGGCTGAATTTATTGTAAAAAGATGGAATCTTTCCGCATTAATTCAGCTCCTGAGGGCCAGCGCGGCTTTCTTCTGCACACACAACCGAAGGAAAGACTCTCGGTTGGTGTGGCGAATGGCTAATGTTCTCTTTGTAAAAGGGATCAATTCTTTTAATGGCAGGAAAGGTCCTTCTGAGATGAAATGCCTTCCGCCCGGCACTTCCCCTGGGCCAGGCTCTGAGCGTCTTGGCTTCCGTGCGGTTTCTGTCACTCTGAGGAGGGAAGATGGGGGCTTCGAGGGCCGTCAGCGTGTGTCCCAGATGAGCACAGGCTGTAGGTCACATACAGACACCCTGGATGGGGGTCAAAGAGGTGACCCACTGGGCTCACCGTGTTCCCAGCAGGACTGAAGCCAAAGGACCCCCTCCTGGTGCCGTCTCAGAACCGGAGACAAGGAGAAAGGCACGAGCTTTCAGAGGGAAACTGGAGGATGGCCCCAGAGGACGCAGGGGCGGGATGACGGGCCGGCAAAGTTCACAAGGACGGGGTGCTGGACCCGGAGCCCGGCCAGACCTTGGCGCGTCAGCTACGAGGACAAGGCGCCCCGAGGCTCGGGCTGACTGCGCGTCGCAGCAGGGCGGTTGCCAGGAGGAGGCCGCGCGGGACGCCAAGGCCGAACATCACAGCCGAGGCGGGTGCGGGTGCTGGCGCTCGGTGGGGTCTGTCCTGTGGAGGGGTTTAGCGGCAGGGTTGCGTTTCCTGCCCAGGGCCCAAACCCGACACATGGTTTCTCGGGAGATAGTGCTGCTGTCGTCATGACGTGGAAGCGCCATTGATGAGCATCGCCGAGTTGGACTCTCCTTTTCCCCAAAGAGGAAGGATTGAGTTTGCCATTGAGCAGAAACGTCCCAGGTCTGGACGCTGTGAGGGGAACATACCGAGACCCAGGCAGGGACGAGTGTTCACACCATCCTTGGTGAGTGGTCGGAGTTGACCCCACGGAACAGGTTTCCTGGAATTATGTAAAGTTACAAAGCTTCCACTAGAAGATTAAAAATAGTCAGCTAAGGAGAATTGGGGGTAGGAGGGGTTAGGAAGGAGCATAAATGCCCGCCGTTTATTGTCTTTCAGAGCACGTATTCATCAAACAATCAAGAAATAAAGACTCCAGCGGGTTTGACGTTCTCAGTCACCCCATCTTTTCGCTCGGCTGCTGTGATGGGGACCCCAAACTGGGGCTCATACAGAATGGACGTTTATTTCTCACAGCTCTGCAGGCCGAGGTACCAGGTCAGGGTGTTGGCATGGTTGGGTCCTGGCGAGGCCTCTTCTGGGTTGTGGAGGGGGGTCTGCTTGTGTCCTCACCGGGTGGAGGGGGCAAGGGCTCTCCCTTAGGCCTCCGTTATAAGCTCACTAACCCCATTCATGGGGGTTCCCCCCTCAGGACCTAATCACCTCCCAGTGACCCACCTCCATACACCCTCACATGGGGCGTTAGGTCTTCAACATATGAATTTGGGAGGGACACAGATATTCAGATCATAGAACCCGGAAGAACTAGGAGGAAACCCTGAGACAGAGGCCCCTGGGGAGGGGGCAGGGTGATGGGAGGTACCCCAGAAGCACCTGGCCCACTGGTGTCCTGGGGCTGCCGTGAGGAACACGCTGCTCAGAAGGGAGCCCGGCACACAGCCGGGCGGCCCGGGAGCATCTGTCACCTGTGACTCTCCCCTCCATACCCCTGTGTGACTAAACTCTCCCCACCAACTCCATTTTTACTTTTATTAAAGAAATTAAAACACACAAAGAGAATGATCTCAAATGGTCCAGTAAAAGTATCCGTAGAGAGAGAGACTGAAAGCACATGTGACAGGATGTGACAAGCGGGGCCGTCTGCGGTGGGCGTATGGGGCGGGCAATTTCTTTGTTCAGTATGAAATTCTTTCAAAATAAAAATGTAAAAAATACATAAAGATTGGAAAGGAGAAAAGAAACGAGAAGAAAACCTACCGCTGCGGTGGTCTTTGTAAACAGCGTTTGTGTAATTTCACACACGAAGGAGCCCCAGCCCTGCCTTTCCTGCCTCGAGAGCAAGCTTTTCTGGTGACACTGACTCCCAGACCCGCTGCTTAAAGTGATGTCATTTCCATTTCACTGGAGGCCACAGGTCGACAGATGGAGGTGGTGGTCCGGGGGGCGGGTGGGGAGATGAAAGGGCTTCCAGGCTGACCCCCCGGCCCCCACCCCCTCTGCCCTTGAAGGATCTCATGGGGTCACCAAGCGTCTTCCTCGAGAATTGGGGTGTCTCAGGCAGGACTACAAGGATGCTGTCGTAGCCCCAAATGGGATTTGGAGGCCTTTTGGGGTTGGGGGCTGCTCCGGGTCCTGGGAACTTGGGTGGAGACAGGTTCTGGTGCCTCCGACAGGTTCCAGCATTTGTTGGAGGAAACGGTCACCGAGAGCCACCTTGTCCTTGGTTTTAGACAGGAGGGGAAGGACCTCCTTGCCTTGTCTTTGCAGCTGAGGACCCCCACAGCTCCTGGCAGTGGCAGAACCCACCGCGTGACCCTAGGCCACTGGCCCCCTGGAGCCACCATGGTCCTGGGACAGAGTGTTTGCCGAGAGCTGTGATGGAACCATCATGTGTCATCTGCCACATCCAGAGTGCAGAATGCAGCCGCCTCTCCGGCTCAGCTCCCACCAGCATCCACCGGGGCAGCTCCTGCCCAGGACGGGTTTGGGGCAGCCAGGGAGGCCTCCGCCCAGGACAGCCCCGGCAGGGCAGGCTCTGACCACATGTTCTCGCAGACGGCAGTTGCTGCTTTGAGAACGCCAGTATGAGAGCTCTGGCCCGTCTCTGGCTGGAGGGCACGCTCCCCACTCCTCTTCTCAAAGGCGGGGGCCTTCCTTCCCAATTGTCTCCCTGGTTTCCGTATCGGTGGGATCTGGGGTGGGAAGCAGAGGGGCCCTGGCTGGCTTAGGGGAGTGGGGAACAAGTAGGGACTCTGGGGCTCGCAGAGCTGATGGGAGTGGGGGGCGCTGGGGCAGGTAGGTTCCGCAGTAGGACCCTCAAGGGGGCTGGAGTAGGCGAGGTCCCTCATCCTCTGACTCTGGTCCTTCAGTCCAGGCCCACGTGATTATCACCCAGCTTGATGGGTCTTGGTGGGAAGGATGTTGTTCCTCAAGGAGAGCTGAGGTGCTGCCAGGAAGAGGCCAGGGCCCCTGAGTCCCCATCTGCAACTGACGTGACTCCAGCTTGACTCCAGAATGTCTCCCTGCTGCCTTCATGCTGGTTTGTAGGGTAGGGAGACGGATAGCTCAGGGGAGCTGGGGTGGGCCCCAACTGTCCACTCTATGCAGCCCCGTCTGAGATGCCCCGGGACCGGGCTTCCAGCCCTGGAGCCCCGGCATCTGGCTCTGCTGTTGGCTCCCGGGGCCCCTTGCTCGGCCTCATCGGAGGGCACCTGCATGGGCCTGGGCCAAGCTCTTCTCGTTGGTTGATCCCTGAGGTCTGTGTGGTCAGGCCCAGCCTGACCCACAGGCACAGGTTGGCGGCCAGCTCGTGTGAGCTGGGTTAAGTCGGAACAGATGGCAGTGTTGGCCCTTCTGGGGACAAACGCCAGCCCTGGGATTGAGGCAGGTGCCAGGCTCAGAGCTGGGTGCCTCTGGGTGTCGATCCATCCGAGCCGTCCCACCCATCAAAGACGCTTCCCTTCCCCAGGCTGAAGCTCAGAACTGCACTCAGAGCCTCGGATGGTCGGTTGGGATCTGAGGAGCGAGCTCTCCTCGGCCGCCTGGATTCCGGGCAGGGTGGGGGCTGCATGCGCCTGTGCGCTCCCCGGCGATGCGGCTGCCTCCTGTTTGTTGGGAGCTTAGCAAAACCTCAGGCTGGTTGTGCCAAGTCCCAGAAATGCTGGTTGGTGCCCCAGTCCTGCCCGGCGCTGGCCTGCTCCAGCCAACTCTGAGTGCCCTGGGGTCGTTCTCCAGCTCCGAGCTGAGGCACACGGGCCAAGGAGCCACGTGTCACTCGGGAGGACTCAGTGCTTGCTGGAAGCTAGGGAAAGGCCCGGTGTTCCCTTTGTCTGGCCTGTCCAGGTCATCAGGGAGAATCTGTTTTCTGGTAACTGAGCCCAGGAGCGAGGCCGGTTTGGCCATCAACTGAGGCCTCGGTGCAGCTGCCTGGGAGTCTTACCTGGGGGTGGGGAGCGGCAGGCAGAGGACTCCAGGCCCGTCTCTCCAGGTCTCTCCGGCGAGGCTCCTCAGCGTCGGGGGTGGAAGCTTCTGCCATAGTCTCTGGTGGCCACGATTGTCGATGAACTCAAGAAGCCTCTCCTAGTTCCCTAGGAGCACACCGGCTCGTGTGGAGGCCCCCGCCCAGGGTCAGAGGGCAGGGCTCAGGGAAGAAGCCCACCCCTGGCCGGCTGCCCTCACCCCCGTGGACTTGGCGAGGGTCATTACCTTCAGGGCCCCTCCCTGTCCCCAGGATTCCCAGTGCATGAGGACCGGGAGCGCTTCCCTCCTCCGTGTCGTCTGCATGCGCTGGAGGGGCTGCCTTCTCTCGGAGCGACTTCACCGGAGAAAGATTCCAGGCACCTATCATGTTTTCCCAAGAACCCAACACATCACAGCTGACTCATGAAGTCGTCGACAGATCCATCCATCCTTGCCCCACGGTCCCACTGCAGGCTGTGGGTGCTCCTGCATGTCCTTCAGGAGCTTCCCCGGAGGAGGCTGCCCTGGGGTCTTCCGGCTGCCCACAACTGGGTGTGGTTGCACTGGACAGGGAGCCCCTCCTCTTGCCTCCTCTCCTGGGCTTGGGGCCGGTGCTGGGGGGCTGCTGCCCATCCCGTCTCCCCCTCCATCTCCCCTCCCCAGTGCCCCATCCCTCCTCTGTCCCCTCCACCTCCACCCCACTCCTCTCCCTCCTTCCTCCCACCCCTCTCGCCCCCTCCTCTATTCCCCCCACTGCTTCCACCCCTACCCAGGCCCCAGGTTTCCCTCCTGCTGTGCTGACTGTGCCCTAGTCTGTGACCTCCTGGCCAACTTAAAAGAAAATGTAGAATTTTTCCCTGACGATTGTTGAATCTGGTCTCATGCCTGCAGGTGCTCATGCGCTATTCTCTCACCTTTTCTGTATGTTTGACGTTTTTCATAATAAAAAATTGAAGAATATAAATACCCGTCTCTGTGCTGATGAGGGTTATTATTATAAAAAACTGAACAGGTAACCGCCACGTGGTAAAAAACATCCTGGCTACAAAAGTCCGTGAGGAACAGTGACCCCGGCCCCCGCCTCGTGGCCACTCTGTTGGCACCGTCGTGGCTCCTGCTCTGGAAGCTCAGTTTTCTCTCCGTGATCCCCTCATTAAATGAAAAAAATAGGAGTCCACTGTACCTGCTGCTTTCCTGTCATTTTTTTTAAATAATTTTATTTATTTATTTTTTTCCCCCAAAGCCCCAGTAGATAGTTGTATGTCATAGCTGCACATCCTTCTAGTTGCTTCGCCTGTCATTTTTTTAACATAACAGTACATCATGGAGATTATTCTG